GTTGAGTAAGGGGGCAGTACCCCAAACAAAGCAACAGCAACTGGGGTCATAAGCCCAACCCTCCTCGCAACAATGAATCAGTTAGTAAAAAAAAAAGTAAAAAAGGCCAAGGAAAAGAAGGAGGAGGATAACCGCATGATCACCAAACCTTATCCGGCTTGGATAGATTCCGTGCCGTATACGCCAGGGTTCTCTCAGCCAGACTTCAAAATGTTCGACGGAACGGGAGACCCGCACCAGGAGAGTCAATCTGGGTTCAAGATGAGATGTTTTCGCTCACCCAGGAGCGAACTCCTTCCACGCCTGGGCAGACCCGAGCAAGGCAGGCTCTAGTTCGACTAGCTTTGACCTTGAACGTGGCAATCTAGCTGCCATAAAGAGGAGAGGCCAAGGTATTCGCATTCGGCGGGAAGGAACCCGAGGGTAGGTGGTTTGCTCATAAGTCTGTCTTTCCTTAAATAAGCCAAGCAAAGGAAGCAAGGGTAAGAATGCATTCCTCTTCGTCCGCTGAATCTGTTGCCGGAAGGGAGTTCCGTTCCCCGAGGGGAATTTACCAGAGATAGAATCTGCAGCTATTTCAGCTGTTGTTGGAACTAGAAGCTCATACCATACCCGGCAAGCTCCGACAAAAGAGATTGATTCCCAGGAAAGATCATAAAGAGAATTAAGTAGCTGAAAGCTTTCTCAGTTGAAAGCTGCAACTTTCATCGAGATTGGTACCCACTTTGATTTAGAAAGCGAACAAATGGGACTCAAATGCTCCTAGGGGAATGCTTTTTTACTAGTGCCCCTATTACTCTATGCCGTACTTATTATGAGTTGAGAAATGAAAATATCCCAGCTAGACTAGGAATAGGAAATAGCAGAGACTCGGGAATGACTGTAGACTAAGGCTAAGCTCTGATTCCCAATAAGCTATTCGGAACTCCACTCTTGGGCATCTGGAAATTCAAGGCATTCAAAAAGAGTGAAAATACAGGGAAAGGCGAACTCTTCTTATGGATTTGAAAGGTCATTCAAAAATTACCAATTCCAAGGCGACCGCCAAAGACAGTTTTTGCCACATGTTGTCGGTGAAGCGGTTCTCGGATAGGAATGAATCCCCGGATGGACACCTTGCTTATCTTTCTCAAGGATGAGAAAACTAGGAAATTGCGAAGGAAGCTTTTCTTTCTCCCATAGGTTATACCCTTAGGCGTGGATATATCGGAATAGGGCTTTGAGGTTGATTTCCCTTTTCCTTTTGGGATCAATAGGGCAGCAAGCGCAGGAAAGGGAGCCCCTCAAACAGTTTCAGTTCTACTTCCTGCCAGTGGGAGAGCATTATATGAGTCAAGGGTATTTTCATTCAAGCTTTACCAGACTAATTCCGTCTACTGAGACCTAGATTATAGAGACTCTACTTAAAGAACGTATCGCCATGAGCCTGCCCCTACGAAAGAATTGAATCAGTAACTGCCTTCGCTACCTGGAGAGCTAACTGGCAAGAAGCAAGGGAAGAAAGTGAGTGAACTACTGACCTAATAGGAAAAACCTCGGAAATGATTCAATGCTTTCCTGGCCTGTCTTCAATGGCATGAAGTCAGCTTTCAGTAATTGCATGGGAATTTCCTTGATTCGGGAAGTCAAGGCATGAATAAAGCAATGAAGGAAGCGTGGAAAATTCCTTTCGATACCCAATCCACTGCCCTAGACTATACGGATCGAACGAGAAGGAAGTAGCCAATTCTCTACCGAAAGAAGGGGAGTTGAAGTTCTCTGAGGGGGAATATCATACCTTACTCTACAAAGTTATCCTTTAGAGCCCGCGGCTCCTGCACCTGCCCTAGAAAGAGGTTATCCCGGAAAGGAAGTTCATAAAGCCCTTAGGGTAGCTTCAATCTGGGATTGACGGCTTTGGCATGCATGGATGAATTGCTTATAGTAAGGTAGAAGCGATGCGGGATGGGTTCTCTCTGTCTTCTAAGCTTGAAAGCAGAATATCTATTTTATCTCCAAAAGAAAGTGAACGAATGGACGAGGAAGTGAATCATCGGATCTCTGAGTCAAGGCTAAGACCTAAACTGACTGAGAACTTTTTTTCGGATGATAAGACAGATGAGGGTATGGTTCAAGCTATAAGACCTGAATCTATGGAAAAAAGATAAAGATAAAGGAGAAGGCAAAAGCCCATGAGGAAGGAAAGCTCTAACTCCAATTAAAAGACCCTTAACTTGTCTCAGAGGGGAAATCCCTTTTCTTTTTGGGAATCCACTTTGGGGGGAAGAGAGACGAAGGCTGAATCCACTTACTGACCAAAGAAAGGAGTTTCAGCAGACATAGAATATTCGATGGCAGCGGACAAGATACTCTTGGGTGCAGCAGAGGCTGGTTTAAGGTATGGAATATCTTCTCTTTAGG